TTATTATTTGAGCATTTCGTTTAAACGACATTGAAAAATTTTAAACGAATATGTTTTTATGAATTTTCATGCTGAGAGTAACGTTTATCATACTGTGAGAATTAGGTTATATAAATTCATTTTATATATAAAGACTATTGGCGCATTCCAACTATTCATGTATCTCCGACAAAAAAAACAACCCCCCCAAAAAAATCAAATATATAGTGATTTTCCAAGCGTAGCTTAGATGTGGCACAAGGCCGAAAGTATGAGGCACCCAGTGAGGATCGAACTCACTACTCAATCGTAATTGATCTAGCAAGACAAGCTTTCTAACCATTACACCACGTCGAGGTGTCCAAGAGATTTTCCAAGCGTTGCTTAGATGTGACACAAGGCCGAAAGTATGGGGCATCCAGTGAGAACTCACTTTTCAGTAGTAACTTACTAACCATTACACTACGCCGAGGTGCCCAAATATATATATATATGTTGGGTATTCGACAAATACACTAACAAGTTGGCTTACACTACACATGTCTGACCATTCGTCCATTGCGAGACATCTATAACAACATTCCTGTCCACATTCACAATATAAAAAAAAAACACTAATCGACAACACAACTATCCTACACCAAGAAAACAACAAATTCAGACTACAGATACTAGGAGCAATTTATATTAAAAAATTAAAGCCGGCACTGAATAGAATCAACTACAAATACTGCAGTAATGTTATGAAATGCCTGTGAAGGAACAATTTTCAACACTTTAATTCGTGCATGACCATGACATTATAACATGAAAAAAATTCCATAATGGATAATTTTTTTTCACGTTCTAATGAACGCTCAGCACATTGTCAACCGTTTTGTATTTAAAAGCATAATGAAAAAAATTATGGTAATAGATAACAACGCACATCTTTGTATAAATACTTGTACAGATGACCAACATATAGTTTTGTATTACTTTCACCTCTGATGATGATCTTGGAAGAAGATCGAAAGTGCTTGGGAAATGAAAATAAAAGAAATTTAAACAGCTATAGCACATTTCTCTCATCGTTATCCGTGAGTATGAACGGATTTTGTTAAAAATTGCATAATGTATGTAATTTATTCAATTAGACATACCTAAGAGAGAATTTTCTGCCTAAATAGACATATATATATATATATATATATATATATATATATATATATATATATATATAGTATGATTCTGTTGTTAATATTTTTGCTCTCTCACGATGCGTCACAGAACCGCAACAGGAATTTACAACATGCGTCTGCTATTCCGTGACCGTTATCGACGCATAGCAATCTTCTATGCCAACATAACATAATATCTTCTTTGAGGGTGAATATCTTTGTTTAAATGTCCATATAACAACTCTGAAAATGGCTCATGTGAGCCGAAAAGCTTAGATCAAGGAACAGCATAATAAAAAAAATATCCAAATGTTGGACAATTTTTGTCTTTATTTTCTCCCGAATGATCAAACATAATAGACATCCGTTGTCCGTTATATTTAACAATATATCTTTGAATATATATATATATGTTTTATATTTTGATGGGAAAGTGCTATTTATGAATATATTTATAAACTGAGATTTCTATGTCCAATCTTTTATATATATATATATATATATATATATATATATATATATATATATATATATATATATATGTGTGTGTGTGTGTGGGGGGGTTAAGAGACGAAAGACAACGGCGAAAAGCGTCAGCAAATATTCCTGTTGCTATGTCTCGAGATCCTCGCTGTTGCTTGTATGCAGGTCACTAGCGGGACTGACACAAACATTAAAAACATTAAAAACTGAATGAGGTGGTCGAATCCTCATACGTCGAAATCAACAAGAGAGTCCATCATGGCATATGAAACCGACTTTTATGCCATCATGTGAGCCGAAATCTTAGATCAAGGAACAACATAATAAAAAAATACCAAAATGTCGGACAGTTTTTGTCTTTATTTTCTCCCGAAACTAAAGCCGTTTTACGAAGCTTAGAACGGCTCATTATAAAATATAATAGGCATTCGCTGTCTGTTATATTTAACAATATATGTTTGAATAATGATCTGCTGCCCAAATACAATATCTATCTATCTATCTATCTATCTATCTATCTATCTATCTATCTATCTATTATGTAATGGATTAAATCCGACAAATATTTCAATATATTTCCTGTTTATAAAAAAATAACGTATAAATAGAATATATATATATATATATATATATATATATATATATATATTTCCTGTTTCCTGTTTATAAAAATAACGTATAAACAGAATATATATATATATATATATATATATATATATATATAATGGTGAGAAATGGAATACAGAAGATAATCGTCATGTACCAGTATATACTAATTATCGTCGAATTCCCACGGATGTGGCATCAAATATAAACGGAACTATACAACCATTCATTTAACTAGAAGAACGAGTTTGCTAATTCCTGCGCTATGGCGAGTGATCTAGATAGCTATAGATGGATGCATCTTCTTAGGGAATGGAAGTTTCTCCGAAAGTATTTCCACTTAATGGTGAAAACTGGTTTTGAGCCGTGGGAACGTTCGTCCCAGCACAGTACTTTCTCTTTAGTAAAGTAAGCTAGAAAGAAAGCTGGACGTTAGATAAATTGTACTTACAGAGAGTCCAGTGTCTCTTTAGGTGTGTTCGACACAAGGGTGATTAAAAAACGAGGCCAACAAAAAGTCATAATACTGATTTTATTCAATTGTTATAGGACATACGTGTTCTTTTGTTTGAAACCAAGTCGACAGATGTAATCTGTTTGAACTTTAGACGATCCTTATCAACATTTTTGGGATTTCCCAACCAAACTAGCACGATTTTCGGTCAGATAAAATGCATATGATTGCATATAAAAAAAAACAGATATATACGAGGCTTGGTTAAAAAGCTCAAAGGCTGATAATGAAGGAGTGATGCTAGAGCCGTGAAATATTTCACGTATTAATTTCAACTCTTATTAATAACTGCATTGTGTCTTCCCAGGTAACATGGCATCTTAATAAGAAGGGTTGAAAATTATACATGTAAATTTTCACAGCTCTTGCATCACTACACTGGTGTCAGTCTATTAAGTTTTCAGGATATACGAACGATGCTCGACGCTGCACATGAAGTCCACCTAACCAATGAAAATCAAACAACACAAAAAGAAAAATATCAGATTTTTTTTCCGTATCTCATTTTCTGGTGAAGCTTCAATAAAAGCGAAACAAGTTTTTCTATTTTTTAATATTCTGCTTAGCTTTTGGAATTCTTCTTTGGCTATCCCGATCCGCCTTCGGATTTCAGTGTCACACTTTCTGTCCGCTGCTAAAACACTTCCTAGATATTTAAATTTTTGTACTTGATTTTGGTATTTCCGATTTGCAATTCACACTTTGGCCCCATCCTTTGCTAACCACCATCTTCTTACAGTTGATGATTAGCCCTTCCTTCTCGCTTTCATTCATTAACTTCTGTAGGAGTTTTTATAGTTTTCTTTCTCAGTCTGCTGTTAGCAGTGTATCATCTACAAATCTTATGTCGTTAAGATTTGTGACCGCCAGTAATGAGTCCTGATAGGATTTTTATTTCTCTCAGGATTGCTTCACTGTAAAGGTTGAATAAATCTGGGGAGAAGACACACGCCCTTCTCTTACGGCCCTTCCTATTTTTGTATATTAACTGAATTCGTTTTCTATCCGTATTCAATCGGTACTGGATTATTATAATATCCTTCCCAAATAAATCAAGCTTACCTCGTAGTTCAAACAGCTGTGACATACTTTGTCAAACCCTTTTACATAATCTATAAAACACAGGTACACATCCTTCTGCATTTGTGTTGCTCTTTCTGATATCATTCTGTGCATAAATATCGTATTCTTTGTTCGTGTGTCTATAACAGAACTGTACTGCTCTAGTATTATTTGAGGTCCAATTCAGAATTCGGATGATAAGTTTTATTATGTGGCTCATTAGGCTGACTGTCTGATAGAGTTCGCACTCGTCTGCATCTGTCTTTTTGGACAGCGCTATGAAAATGAATCTACTTAGGTCTTCCGGTATATCACCACAGTCTTATATTTCATTTATTGTTGTAACCCAGGCGAGGTTACTGAACAGAATAATCAAACGAATATTGGTAATGAACGATTACTACTTAAGACAAGAACAACACATATAAGATTCGCCAGCGGCTTGTAGAAGAACTAGGCTGGAAGTGAGCCAAGTGAATTTCACAATGAATCTCAAACTGCAGGATATCTACCAACCGCCCTCCGCGGTCAGATGTGACACAAGGCCCAATTTAGTATGGGGTATCCGAGCCAATAGGCTCGTCCAAAAATTCCTAGTAGACCCCATATAAAACGGGGCTCGGGTAGCTGTTTTTCGAGACGAGACTCTGCCCTTCGACATAGCCTAGTCTGGTGATCCTCTCTTCCCGGAGACAGAGAGTTTGACCAGCACAGCTAAAGACGAATCTCCAACTGCAGACCAACATACAGTATTTACTACTATGTGAATGGGGACATACCCATTATCGTCTGTATGTATGCTACAACATTTATTATAGCTGAAATTTTGTCAATGCCGAAATATTATTTCCGTGTCTGCTATTCATACTGTGTCATCTTAATATCTTACGTTGTTAAGATTGTGGTCGCCAATAATGAAACCTGGTAGTTCTAATCCTCTCGCTGTATAGTTGAATAAGTCCGGTGAGAAGACACATCCTTGTCTTATACCCCTTTCTATTTTTGCATTAAAATTATTTTTTAAAAACAAAATTCACCCAATACAAGGCATGAGAGCCACTCAAGATATCGAGTTACTTAATGAGGAATACGAAATAAAGAAAACAAGAAGAATAAGTGAATGAATGATTTAATATAGCAAAAATATTTTTTTAAGCGGGATAAAAAATAGCGATACGTATCATGGAATAAGGGCATCAGGTGATGTTGGGCCGTGATTTCAGTTTGTCTATTGCAGTTTTTGAAAATTTGTATACCAATCGTCTGCCTTCTACTCGCTCCAAGATTCCTCGTCGATAATAATGTCTAGAAAATATAAAGATAAATAAAATATAAAAACAAATATAAAATAAAAAATATAAAAATAAATATATAATAAAAATAAAATAACATAAATAATATAAAAAATAAAATAACAATAGAATAGAATAAAAATAAAATAATTTTTTTTTTAATTAACTTGAATGGTTAACATCATGCCAGGTGAAATGATGGTTTCCTTGGGGGATACACGTTTAATTTCTGTCGGAGAACGCGTGTTTTCTACGAAATTTCTCGAACAATCAAGCCAGCAAATATAATTAATATTGTTTAGCATTTACTCAAATAAATTGTATCCACAAAAATAACGTATAAACAGAAAATATATTAAAATATTTAACGGGTTTAATCCATTTTATCTAATATGTTGCCATTGTTTGCGTTATATTTCAAAGCAGAAACAATAGATCGAGAAAGATCGTCGATGTGTATTTATAAGCAGTAATTTGAACTTTGCTAAATGGAAAGTTCTCTGTGGGTGAATATATGTAGTTTGAAAAATCCTGCGAATTTTAAAATTAATATTCGTAGGTGAAAATGGTCATCAACTAAAGGTATCTTAATTGTAAAGAAAATTTGCTCTGTTTAATGAAAATAAACATTGAGCGCTCTTTTGTGAGTCAGTTTTAACATATTTCAAATTCTATGTTGTGTTAATAGGACTCGCCTGGATTATACCAAACGGATTACTACCTATATATATATATATATATATATATATATATATATATATGATTTATTCGAAAATTATTACATAAATATGTTATAAAATCACTACAAAAATAGCCATTTTCTTTCAACACATCTGGTGTCTTATCAAGTGATGGTGTTGAATGTAGAATAAAGAGTTTTAAAAGGTTCATATCAACCAAACACCCCTCGATAGGGGAAACGCTGTTACATAAGCTGCAATGACCAATCAAAATACAAGTAACGAGAATTCCCAAAACTTGACAACGGACCTTGGTTACAATAATTAATGCCTTAATGTTAAGGTTAGACTAAAATAGAAATCATATGAAGAAACTATTGGCTAAATGGCAAAAAAAAAAAAACGATTTTGGACATAGTCTATCGCAGATTCCGTTCACTTAACTGAAATAATCTAAACCAAACATTCACGCAAGACAATTTTTGTGTCATATGTAATTTAAATGGCAGATTTGGAAAGCCTCGGACGAAAAAACAGGCTGTTATGGACGGGCTTTTTGAACATTTATTCGTGGTTTTTCGTTATATGCGAGGAAGTGAGCAGGACTAAAACCACACCATTTTATTTCTTGCATGATGGCAAATTTTTTGTGACATGTTTGAAGAAAATCGGATAAAAAATGAAGACATTCAATTTTTTATTTTATGTAGAACGAAAAAAACCGATTTTTTCATAGATTTGCAATTTTTTTGTGTGAAGCCAATGTAGCACTCTACATAAAACTCGTAACATGAGCTATGCTTTGCATTAAGTACAAAGAACATCAGCTCATCCAGTAAAAATTTTGTTCGCATGTAACTTTGCCTTGGTTTTTGCAAAAAGTTGTACTTACCTTCAGTTTTATCGATTTTTCTGCCAAACCCGAAGTTGAAAAGTTGTCTTGACCAGAAGTTGGTATTGAAATGTGAACCTACATAAATAGCACACACACACACACACACACACACACACACACACACACACACACACACACACACACACACACACACAGGGATCTTCTGTTTTATAGATATAGATAATAAAAGATAATTGTAATGACACCTATTGATATATGTAAAATTATGTATTTTAACCTTTATCAATGTGAACAGAATTTCTGCCAATAAAGAGCTCAGTAGTTATCTAATGAAATAATTGTTAAAAATAATGAAAATTCATTATACTTATTGGAGGTCCACTTTCGTGATTGCTCCGATACATATTGTGAACTTTCAATGCATATATATATATATATATATATATATATATATATATATATATATATATATATATATTAGAAATATTTAAAATATTGCAACAGTAGTCTAAAGATTAATGTCAAAATTACTTACCTCATTGCTCGACTAAGTTTTTCGTAGTTCATATTTCCGTTATTCTTAAGGTTTCCCCAGACATGTGCCATCATCTCTGACTGAACAAAACGAAACACCCCTTCCATTTCATTCTCCCATTTCACCAAGCGTGGATTGTAACCAGGGTTCTTTAAGGCATCATAAAGGAATTCCCACAAGTGCTGGTTTTTCACTGGAAATAAGCAACACAAGACAAAACAAACACTTTAATTGAAGAACTAGTCTTTCGTCGTTAAAAGACATCCGTCAAACACGCATAAAATCAATCACACAACAAAGTATTGTTTGTGTCTTTTCTTAATTAAATCTTCG